GGGAGGGCTGGGTGCCAGGGAGGGCTGAGTGCGGGGAGGGCTCTTATCGCTCTTAGGTAGCAATTGTCCTCTTGATTAGTGCCCCTTAAGTACTGTGTCCTGTGGAGTCACGAGGAGCAGAACTGAACACTGGGCATTAAACCTGAAATACAGAATTTGTGGTTAAAAAATCCAAATAGGCTTTTGTTCATCAACTTAGTGGAGACAAAGGACAGTGGGTAGCCGGGCGCATGCTTTGCTTCCCGAGGCTCCAGGCTCCTGCCAGCGGGGCTTCTGCCCTGCATGGTCCCCGACCCCCCAACCCCCTTAATCCAGGCCTCAGGGACTCCCGCCCATCAAGTCCTGGTGAGTCTGACCCTTCCTAAGGAGGAGCTTGGGTGGGGATCTCCTAAAAGGAGCCCTTCTCAAAGCCATTGGACGAATTGCACCAGGAACATTTGTCCTGGAAGTAGCCTCAGAAACAAGGTGACACTGTCCAGCTTCAGGGCAGCTCCTGGTCCTACTGTGCTGATGACCGTGGGGTCAGGCCCCAGCCCCACCACCCAGTGCCGGCCACCAGGACACACCAGGGTGATAGTCATTCTGTGTCCGGACACTGGGCCCTGGACATGTGGCCAATGTGACGGAGAAACTCACCCTCACCCCTTAACCTGATTGTGTTTTAATACATTTGTATTGATGTCAGAGAGGGAGGGAGAGGGAGAGAGAGAAACATCAATGATGAGAGAATCATTGATTGGCTGCCTCCTGCACACAGGGGATGGAGCCCGTAACCTGGCCATGAGCCCTGACTGGGAATCATACTGTGACCTCCTGGTTCATAGGTTGATGCTTAGCCACTGAGCCACACCAGTGGGGCTTAACCTTATTTATTTTGAATCCAGCTCAGGCAGCTCTGTGGCTGTGGCCAGCATGTGGGCCGGACACGCAGGGACAGTTCTCCCTCAGTTGTGGCACCTCTGCTCCTTGTCATCTCGGGTTAAGTGTATGGCCCTGCACACTTCACTCCTGGGGCGTGTAGAGTACGCCCGGACCCCCCCGGAGGAAGAGGCAGAGCAGGGTGTCATCCTCTGGTCCCTCTGACCTGTGGGGTGGGGGCCAGCTCAGTGGGCAGGGACTCGGTACCTGGGAGCTCACCTGGAAACGCAGCCCATCCTCCCCATCTGGGAGCTGCCTGTCATCATGGAAAGATTAACAACCTTCTTGCAGAAACCAGAGCCGACAGCCCTTTGCAAACCCCCAGCCTGCATTACCTGTGAACTGCCCATGTGGCATACCTTTGGCCTACTTCCCCATGTAATCTTCAGACTGTGTAATGCCCTCCTCCAGGTCAGAGGACACCGCAGGCTTCAGAGGGGACTCTGTCTGCAGTGGTCCTTCCTGTAGGCACAGGACATGGACAGGAAGGCACACACTTCCTGAAGGGGCTGGTGTTTACCCCCAACAGACACAGCGGGAAGGAGCCAGAGGGCGGGGGCTGTGAGGGGCCAGGTGGCTGCGGGAGGCCCCAGTCAGCCCAGCACAGACCTTGAACTCTGCAGGGGCCTGTGCTCTGTCAGAGTTCTGGGGACAGCACGTCCTGGGAACAGTTCACAGAAACGTGCCTGGGCCCGGAACCCACAGGTTCTCAGCCACCCTCCCTGGACCCTTCCAAGTACCCCCACCCCCACCCCATCCTGGGAGCCATTCTGAGCCACAAAACACCCTGTCTTCTTGGTCCTTTCTTCTCCGGGTAAATGCTAATCCACACACAGTCCTGGGGCAGGGAGAGTGATTGGTGCAACACCAAATGAAACTAAGAGCTGGGGGTGGGGCGGGGGCAGCGAGGATGCCCGTAGCCGTCCCCCGAGTCCTTGTCCACAGTTATCGGACCTCCTCGGAAACGGCAGGGCCCAGAGAGATGGCCTGTCTTGGGCAGACATGTGACCGGTGTAAAGCGCACTTGGTAAGAGGAGCTCTGAGAGGGCGGGGAGCGTGCATCTGTGATCAGGAGGGTGTTGGGCGTCCTTTAGTCCGAGGTGTGGCGCGTGTTCTGACACCAGGAGCTGCTCCCGTTCACCGTCTCCTGGGGGATTTCGGACGAAGCCGGCCGGCTGGCCACCGCAGCTGTGACCGACCCACCCCAGGGAAGACCTCAGTCCCCACGGCCCAGGAGCCGGCCCCGGGAGTTTCTGGCGACCAGGAGAGGTGAGCTGCCTGTTCCCAGGGGACTTAGAGGCTGTGTTTCCAAGTATGAATTCAGTATTTCTTTCAAGAGGAACATTCCACCTTCATGTTAATGGAGGGAAAAGGGATTTTTGCAGGAGTTGCTGGGATTACAGGACCGTACACAGACCGAGGTTCTCCCCAGCTGCTGTTTTAGGCGCCGTGGTGACGAGGAGACCCCGGTCTGAGCCTCCTGCCTGGCCTGTGCTGTAGCAAAGACTAATCCAGACACTGACAGCACACCCCACATTGGCCACCATGCCCCCCCTTTTTAAATATATGTTATTGATTTTTTACAGAGAGCAAGGGAGAGGGATAGAGAGTTAGAAACATCAATGAGAGAGAAACATCGATCAGCTGCCTCCTGCACACCCCCTACTGGGAATGTGCCTGCAACCAAGGTACATGCCCTTGACCAGAATCGAACCTGGGACCTTTCAGTCCGCAGGCCGACGCTCTATCCACTGAGCTGAGCCAGTTAGGGCTTGATGTAAGAGGTTTTTAAAAATATATATATTTTTTATTGATTTCAGAGAGGAAGGGAGAGGGAGAGGGAGACATCAATGATCAGAGCAAATCATTGATTAGCGGCTCCTGCACCGCCCCCACTGGGGATGGAGCCCGCAACCCGGGCATGTGCCCTTGGCCGGAATCTAACCTGGGACCTTCCAGTCCGCAGGCACTGCACCCCTGCCCGTGGTCTTCACTGTTCTGGGATAATCCCCACCTTGAAGCCATACAGACCTGGTTTCAATCCTGCCGACCTCACCTACTGATTCTGGCAACCTGGATAAATTACTTGCACTTGTGCCTTGGTTGCCAAATCTGATAAATGGGACTCAACTAATATCTACCTTACAGGGTTGTTAACAGAGTGAAATGCTCGGTCTCTCTGGCTCCGTCTTATTCAAGACTTCTTTGTTCCCAGGGCCTTCATAATAGTGCCTTTTTTTTTTTTTTAATTCTCATCCAAGAATATTTTTTTCCATTGATTTCTAGAGAGAGTGAACCTGGGACTGGGAGCTCACCTGGAAATTCGGCCCATCCTCTCCAACTGGGAGCTGCCCATTATCATGGAAAGGTTAACAACCTTGTTGCAGAAACCAGAGCCGACAGCCCTTTGCAAACCCCCAGCCTGCATTACCTGTGAACTGCCCATGTGGCATACCTTTGGCCTACTTCCCCATGTAATCTTCAGACTGTGTAATGCCCTCCTCCAGGTCAGAGGACACCGCAGGCTTCAGAGGGGACTCTGTCTGCAGTGGTCCTTCCTGTAGGCACAGGACATGGACAGGAAGGCACACACTTCCTGAAGGGGCTGGTGTTTACCCCCAACAGACACAGCGGGAAGGAGCCAGAGGGCGGGGGCTGTGAGGGGCCAGGTGGCTGCGGGAGGCCCCAGTCAGCCCAGCACAGACCTTGAACTCTGCAGGGGCCTGTGCTCTGTCAGAGTTCTGGGGACAGCACGTCCTGGGAACAGTTCACAGAAACGTGCCTGGGCCCGGAACCCACAGGTTCTCAGCCACCCTCCCTGGACCCTTCCAAGTACCCCCACCCCCACCCCATCCTGGGAGCCATTCTGAGCCACAAAACACCCTGTCTTCTTGGTCCTTTCTTCTCCGGGTAAATGCTAATCCACACACAGTCCTGGGGCAGGGAGAGTGATTGGTGCAACACCAAATGAAACTAAGAGCTGGGGGTGGGGCGGGGGCAGCGAGGATGCCCGTAGCCGTCCCCCGAGTCCTTGTCCACAGTTATCGGACCTCCTCGGAAACGGCAGGGCCCAGAGAGATGGCCTGTCTTGGGCAGACATGTGACCGGTGTAAAGCGCACTTGGTAAGAGGAGCTCTGAGAGGGCGGGGAGCGTGCATCTGTGATCAGGAGGGTGTTGGGCGTCCTTTAGTCCGAGGTGTGGCGTGTGTTCTGACACCAGGAGCTGCTCCCGTTCACCGTCTCCTGGGGGATTTCGGACGAAGCCGGCCGGCTGGCCACCGCAGCTGTGACCGACCCACCCCAGGGAAGACCTCAGTCCCCACGGCCCAGGAGCCGGCCCCGGGAGTTTCTGGCGACCAGGAGAGGTGAGCTGCCTGTTCCCAGGGGACTTAGAGGCTGTGTTTCCAAGTATGAATTCAGTATTTCTTTCAAGAGGAACATTCCACCTTCATGTTAATGGAGGGAAAAGGGATTTTTGCAGGAGTTGCTGGGATTACAGGACCGTACACAGACCGAGGTTCTCCCCAGCTGCTGTTTTAGGCGCCGTGGTGACGAGGAGACCCCGGTCTGAGCCTCCTGCCTGGCCTGTGCTGTAGCAAAGACTAATCCAGACACTGACAGCACACCCCACATTGGCCACCATGCCCCCCCTTTTTAAATATATGTTATTGATTTTTTACAGAGAGCAAGGGAGAGGGATAGAGAGTTAGAAACATCAATGAGAGAGAAACATCGATCAGCTGCCTCCTGCACACCCCCTACTGGGAATGTGCCTGCAACCAAGGTACATGCCCTTGACCGGAATCGAACCTGGGACCTTTCAGTCCGCAGGCCGACGCTCTATCCACTGAGCCAAACCAGTTAGGGCCACCATGTCCCCTTTGCTGCCACAAGGGTGTGAGCGCTACAGTGGCCGTGTGGTGTCCATGAACTCAGGCAGTCACTGCTGCAGCAGCGGCACCTGGAGGGCCGTCGCGTTTATTGGGCCCTGGGCTGGCTCTGGTGGGGAGGTGGCGGCTCCTGAGTCTCAGGGCAGGGTCCCCGCTGACACCTGAGGGCGCAGGGGTGGGGCCCTGGGAGTGAGCTCTGCATGTGGAGTCCGTGCTGAGAGGGAGCGTCGCCTGAGGCTCCAGGGGTCCTGGAGGGCTGCTGAGCTCTGAGCTGCGCCCTTCACTCTCCCAGCAGCAGCCAAGGGCGGCACCGGGGAGGGAGACTGACAGGCTTCCTCTCCCTCCTGTCCAGAGGCCCCCAGGGATCTTCCGTGGGAACTGCAGGCTGCTGGAGCGGTGGTGGCCCGGGTTGCCACCACCGAGCGACATGTGCTATTGGGGGATTGGACGGTGCCTTCTGTGAGCTGGTCCAGGTGGGTGTCTGGGGGCACAGGTGACCCTCGGGCCTGTTGGGACCCATGTTTTGAAGTTCTGGTCCTTTGGACACCGCTGTCGACTTGGGTTTACAGCTGATGTAAAAGTGCTCACTTCCACCCACCTAGCCGGGGCGCAGCATGGACATCTGATGTAACTGTGCCCAGTTCTGCTGAAAGAGCCTCGGGGTGACCGCAGGCTCAGGAGCGCTCCTGGCTGCCCCGGAGGGTAGGAAAGCCTGCCTCTTCCTGGACGGCACCAGCGCCGGAGCCACTGAGCTCGGGAGCCCTGCTGGCTGCTGGCTGAGGACACGCACCAGCGCAGACCCCGCCGCCCATCTGACCCTCACTGGTGTCACCCTAAATTCCAGTGCGCCTGTCCCGCGGGGCCCTGCAGCCTGAAGGTGGAGGTCCCCTCCTGTGCGGTGGGGCCACTGCGCTCTACAGAGGACCTGGCCCCCGAGCTGCTTCCCAGGACAGATGTCACCACGGGGGTCCCCATCCAGGCAGCCGCATCTGCTCAGACCAGCATCCCGACCTCACAGCCTGCCTTCTTGCCCAGAAGGTAGGGTGAGAGTGGCGTGGAGGCCAGTGTCCCTTCTAGGGGGCTCTCTGCCTTCATGGGGAATGCCCAGTGAGCCATGATCTTGCGTCTGCCTTGTTCACGTCAGGGACAGTGGCAGCCCTGGCCACTGCTTCAAGGCACAGGCTCAGGACCACACAGGTGGCGCTGTTTCCTACTGGTGCCCCTGAGACGCTAGCACTGTTTACCCGGCCTGTTTACCCGGCCTTGAAAGTGTCCTCTGGCTGCTGGGAGGCTCTGTTCTAGTTCATGCTGCGCTGGGACCCCACTTTGAGAACAGTGACCGTGAGCCCGCCATCAGGCCCCACAGACCTTGCTGGCGGCTGCTCCCTGCTGCATCCTGTTCCTCCCGGGAATGTGTCACTGTCCTGAGATCTGAGGCTCTGCCCTCTCCCCACAGCCCCCACGGCCTTCCTCCCGGCCCTCCCTGCACCCTCAGCCTCTCCACGCCCCGGCCTGGGCACCAGCAGCTCTGGCCCCACACTCAGTGTCCCGCTGCTGCCTTCCCAGCCCTGGGCCCTGAGGACGCTGTGGATCCTGTCGCCCCTCGCTTCCCACAAGCTGATGCTCAGGCACTTCCGAGTCTGCGGTTCCGGGTTCAAATCACTCCTGAAGCCGCTCTGTGTCTGGTGATGGACTTCGGGGATGGTTCTGGGGTTCAGATGAGGACCCACCGTGCTACTGGGGACGTGACTGTTACCTCCTTCCACCGGTACAGAAGAGGTATGTGCTCAGGAGCATGGGGGCGGGGCATGCTGAGGAGAGGAAGGCCTAAAGAATGGTGCTGGGACACTGACCAATGGGACACTGGGCCTCCTCTCCCTCCCTCCTCCACCAGCGGCGCTCCCCCCTCTTCCCTCGCCTCTGGGGGAGGTTGTTGAGGTTGAAGCACTTACATTTGCCTCTTGTTGATCACTGAGAGAGATAGAATTCTACAGGGGCCTATAATTAAATTGTGAAATCCCTACATGAAGAGAGAGAAAAGGAGAATATGTCATTTTCCCCCATGTCTCTAATATTCAGAAATATTCACCTGAGAAAATTGGGGAGAAGAGACAGGGAATAAGGTTATGGGTGCCTAGCTCCTGAGAAGCCTTCTCAAACTCTGAAAGAATAACAGGAGAACTCCCTATATCTCTGGACAGACTCGGTCTTGAAGAAAGTCTTTAACAGTCCTTTTCCAGAGAGCAGGTTGCCTAACTTAGTGAAGAAGTTGCACCATGGAAGAGAGGATGGAAGGAGATGAGGTTGGAGAAAGGGGTCCCAGGCTGTCCTCACATGGAAGTCATTACAAAGCCTCTCTTTCCCACACTCCATCTTCACTCTCTTTCTCCCTTTCACCCGGTTCATCTATTTGCTTTAAAACAATCCCTCCATTGAAAATTGAAAACAATTCAGGCCTTCGTCAGGATTTTCACCTTTATCCTGAGAACAATAGGAAACCATTTTCTTTTTAAGTTTATTCTCATTGCTACATTGAGAATGGTCTGAGAAGGAATGGGCAAGAAAGATTTGGACAGAGCAATCAGGTGGTGATAGGTAAGAGAGATCATGGTGAACTGAAGTGGTGGTAGCAATAAGATAGGAGTATTGGACAGGTGTGCAAAGTATTTCTAAGGTAGAATTCATAGTCTTGCTGATTTGTGAATGAAGCAGAAGTGCAAGTATGGTGCTTCTAAGTCTACAACTCGGGAGGCCTTGCTCTTCTTGTGCTTCTGTCATCTCCCTGAGGACATTCCTGAGGTAGCTACTGGCATGGAACAGATACGTGGCAGAGACTTGAAGTGCCCAGTCAGCCCAGTTGAGACTCGTCTAGCCCAGTGGTCGGCAAACTCATTAGTCAACAGAGCCAAATATCAACAGTACAAC